GAATCTCGACGACCAGGACCCACGGTTAGAAACCTTGAGAATTCAGCCTTCCATAGGTGCAGCGTGCATACAAGGTGTTTGATAAAATACTGGAACCAGACTCCCAACTTTGGAGTGCAAAAACATTTTTTCAATTGGTTCGAAAAGTCGTTTCTTTAACAAGTCATTTCGGTTTTTTCTTGCATGGATTAATCTCATGTCTGGTTTAACTAATTTGCAGGAGCTTAAACTGTGATGAATTGACGATGGATCAAGCATCGGCTATTAAGGTTAGCTGCCATTTTCATGAGCATGTGCTTTACTAGTTTTCATGTCTCTGTACTCGAAATCGTAAAATGTTGGAATATTTTGATGCTCGGTTTTTATAAGCTTGATCAAAAACTGAAAAAAAAGCATAGAAAAATCGAATAAATCATTACATTGCCTCCATCAATCAGCAAAAAAGAATATCCATTTCGGTATATTCTGTTTCAGTAATTGTTCTCGGTGGTATTCATCGGCGGTGGTCGCCGGAATTTGGCGAGAATCCCAGCTGCGCACCGGAACTTTAGGGAAAGAAAACCTGCTGCCGCACCTGTTTTCGGAGCAGAATTTGGACGGTTTGGAGTGCGAATTTGGGAATCATTCCTTGACGAAACTCGTAGAGGACCTCGAAAAATATTGGTAAGTGTAAAATTGTATCGAGTTAGAGTATGTTTTGAAGCTGATTAGTGGTCCGAATTAAGTGACTTTAAATCTGTAAAAACAGGGCAGTTTTGAATATTCTTCTTACGAGGCCGTTTTTGCTATGTTGAGCTAATAATTTGGGCTGTGTGTCTTCTGAGAACTTGTAATTTACATTGTAAGGTTCAATTTGGTGTATTATTTGGACAATTTGAATAACTCTACAAATTGTTATGATTTTTCAAATAAACAGTGCCAGCAAATGCATTTGTTCAAACAAAACCTAGCAGTTTCATGCAATTATCTTCCGGGGCTGTTACTGCTGTGTTAGGTCGATAATTTGGGGTTGGTTTCTAAAGTGAACTTGTAGATGAAGTTGTTATCTTTAATTTGATATATAGTTTAGGGTATTCGGATAAGTATGGTGATCGTAGTGATTGTTAGAATTAGCCCGACAAGAAATTCTTAATAAATGTTTCAAGAAATTGACTAAGTGATATAGTGGAATAATACGGTTATATTAGAATCTTGTTAAGTGATGAATATTTTTATTGGTATCGACCGTACTAAAGCTCTCACTCAAGGCTTGAGCATGGCTTGAGCGTAAGGATATTTATTTATAGCACCTTGCACTGGACTTCAGGTGAGGATCCCTATCCCTTGCCTATTCTTTCTGGGAAACTGGATATATGCCGAGCAATCGTATCGTTCGGTTTATTATTGTTATTACACGTCGTTTAAATTCAATATATATTTATTGTCGCCTATCTTGTGAACTAATTTGATTTCCGAGAATTGTTGATTTTTGAGCTATTGCAATCTTCGATCGATTCGAAATCCTTTTTCCTGTAAGTTCTCATCTTGATTCGGGAATTATTCCAATAATTTATTTTCTCGATTCCTTGACTACTCAATTGAGTTCATTTATCGACCTTGAATAATTCAACGATTTTCAATCTGATTCTCTATCAATTTTAAGTCGTTTCACATGTATACTAGTTGGAACCACTTCTATTATGATTCATTAAATCATTTGATTTGTTTCTACAGGGGTTCAATGAATGTAAATCGTTCAATGACTGGACGAGGTAAGTAGCTACTTATGCAAGAGCCAAATACATTATTGAATTATGAGTGCTACTAAGTGACAAATGATTGAAATTGATTCTATCACAAGATTTCTTATTTTCTAATTGAATTTTTGTTTTCCCTTTCTCAGGTTGGACTTATTGATGAAGTGAAAGAACGTTATCGTGGAAGTCATATTTGTTGTCGCTTAACAATTTATGAAGTGAAATTTATTATGAAATGATTATAGTAATCTTTCTTATTATTTGGAATGATTGATTTATTATTGTATTTTTTAATGATAGATTGAAATTATAATATTCACATTTGATTGATAATATGTAAATTTGCAATCTTTAGTTTTATTTTAAATTTTTTTACAGCCACTGTTGCAAATAAAAATTAATGTTTTATGCAATCAATTAATTATTGATCTGAATTGGTCAGTAAATTTAATAATTGTCGAAAACATGTAAAAACTATTGCAACCAATAATATGGTCACTATATGTATATATTTTAGCAACCAACAGATATATTATTTATCAACCAACATATACTGTCACTATATGTATATTATGTAGCAACCAAAAAATGTGGTGGCCGAATATATATATCCTATAGCAACAATAAAATATGGTCACTATAAGTATATATCATTAAGCGACCAAAATTATATGGCCACTATATATGTTGCTATAGCAACCATGTTAATATTATTGCCACCATAAAATTTACATTAGCGAGTCAAAAACTGGTCGTTAATAATTATATTTTTAGTGACCATTATTAGTTCGCCGCTAAATCTTATCTTTTAGCGTCCAATTAATTTTTTTGTCACTGGGTACTTTTAGTAACTACCCTGTTGTGACCACCGGTGACCAAGCTTAATTTGGTCGCTAGAAGTTTTAACTACCATTTTTTTACTTTTAGCGACCATACAGAATCGTCACTAAAACCAATATTTCTTGTAGTGGGAGCTACTAATCACCCACTAAAGTCTACAATTTCTCTAAAATTTGAGGAGCTAACTCTAAGACGATAATTGGGAGCTCCACTACATATGCTCCTAATGTTGCTATTTTTAGAGCCAACAACTCTCTCTCTCTCTCTTGTGAATAGATGCAGATCTTTCTGTTTGTGGTGTTTTATTCCTTATTCGGTGTTTTATTTAGTTAGAAGATTGCGCAAAACTCATCAAATATGGCCTATGCTTTCTTTTTCTTTTTTACTTGCACGGCTGATGATGCTCTGGTTTACGTAAAATGGATGTCTGAAATTTCCACAGTAAGAAAAACAAAAGCAGAGACTTGTACATCTCTAGAGATTGGTACTACAACAATTTGGGGTTTATACGGCCCTTTTTGTACCCCAACGGTTTCAGAACCGTTGTATAAACACGTATTTATGATTTATATAACGCTTTTGAAAATATTGTTGATGCTATAAAACTGTCATATAAAGGTGTATTGTTGACGCTTTTCTAAACACTCATGTTTAATATTTTTTACCGTCATATGGAACTTAATAAAATATAGCATTACCCAGTGTTTGGGAGGCCCGAGGT